CCTTATCATGCCTTTATGAGATAAGCTATTGGTAAACCGCTATCACATTAGGCACTGTGCTTCACTGCACTGGAACCAGACTGAATCTTATTGTGTATGTTGCATAGCAACTGCATCTGTCTTGCAGAAACCATTTAGCAGAAAAAAAAAAGAAAAACTTAGGATCGCAGAAACAGCAGATTTTTCTTCTGAATATAGTTTTTAAAATGCAAAATTTTGATTTGTGAAACGGTGATTTTAAACCATGCTAAGCTGACAGCACCATGTTGCTTTATTAGCACTGGTATCATTTCTGACATCAAGCACATGTAACAGTAGCTGGGCAGCTTTAAACATAATCAGAAAATGGTAACTACAGGATAACAGAACACTGAATTTCTCCCCCGTTTTCCAGGACTCTCCCGAGTTAACGGCTTTACAGCAATAACATCATCATTTGACAATTTCACTAAGAGCTATACTGTGTCTGATATCACTCCCTTATTTACTCGCTCCCTCCATAATACTCTATAGTACTCTGTATTATGATGAACCATCATTTACGGTCATCACTGGCAAATCTCATGTAGCCCTATCAAGTACAGCACTTCCATTCTGATATTGCTAGACATACATTTAGAATAATTTGGACAAAAAAAAAAAAATGGCAGTTAAGAGAACTTAATGAACTATGTAGACCAAAAGGAGGAAATGCTTTTCAACAGTGTGTTCACTTCTAGACAGACCAGGAAGTCATCTCAAGCCAAATATTACAAGCACATCCATTTACATTTGGTCATTTCATCTTAAACAATCAAATTTTTACAATTTCTGCTCAACCAAGTCTGATGTGCCTGAAATGTGTATAGCATAAATTACAGCCTATAGCGAATATGATTATTTATAAAGATATCTGGGAAATTTTAGATTGATATATTGAGTACTTTGCGAGGCTTTTTTTGTTTTGTTGATTTTTTAAAACTACCCATTGTCCCACCTCACACATTGAAATGAAGGCTATATTTGAACAACAAGATCTCAGGAGCTATTAAAAAAAATAAAGCCTGAAATGTCCACTGTTGTTTATGGCCATGATAGTAATTTGAAATCTGTAATATTGTACAATACCTTGATTATGGTTTGAGTTGAAATGTGAAAAAAATGAAGTCATCACTAAGACCAACATCTTTGAGCACACATTAACAAAATAACTGATCGTTCAGATGTCAACTGGTGATACCATTTTGCATTTCTATAGTTTATATTAAAAAGTTTTAAACAAACGAGAGAAGGTCGGGCAGAATGATGACTTGAGATGGAATAACTCATTTGTATTTTAGGCGGTTTATGAAGCTGGTTGATTTTCCTTTTTTTAAATTCCAAAATAATATGATATGTATTTAATTGGGCTGCAAGGTGGTGCAGTTGGTAGCACTGTTGCCTCGCAGCAAGAAGGTCGCCGGTTCGCGTCCCAGTGAGGACACCGGAATCTTTCTGCGTGGAGTTTGCATGTTCTCCCCGTGCAGCGTGGGTTCTCTCCGGGTTCTCCGGCTTCCTCCCACAAAGTCCAAAAACATGTTGAGGTTAATTGGTGATTCTAAATTGTCCGTAGGTGTGAATGTGAGTGTGCTTGGTTGTCTGTCTCTAAGTGTAGCCCTGTGATAGACTGGTGACCTGTCCAGGGTGTCCCCTGCCTTTGCCCCTAAGTCAGCTGGGATAGACTCCAGCACCCCCGTGACCCTAGTGAGGATTAAGCGGTGTATAGAAAATGGATGGATGTATTTAATTAACAACCTTGACCTCATCAGTTTGCTTGTTTGCATGTATAACTGCCGTGGAACTATTAAACCACTACAACCATTTTTAAGAACTATTGAGCCTACAACAACAACAACAGTCTATTAATGGCCTGCGTAGTCTTTCAGATCCTGGTAAATGGGTAAAAACACTTGGAAAGAAAAAATTTTAAAAAGCTTCTTAAATCCATTTTCCCACAGTTTGATGTCTACGTCACTGTTTTGTTTCAACCTCTCTGGGAGTTACAAAGTTCAGTGTTCATTAGCTGGTGTGTTGCTTAAGTTTGGAAGCTCCACTTATATGAGTGGAATATGATTTGTTTATGAGAGATAACATGATTTCATGTACTCTATATTGATCTTTCCATCGTGAGGAACTCTCTCTGGGTGCTGTCACTGCAAAGTATCCACTTACAGCAGATGACAACAGACAGCAAATATGCAAGCGCACAATTTCAAGGACCGCAACAACAATAACATGTTGTGAGCACATGCCCCTTCCGTTTAATCACAGCATTTCACTAATGCACAGCAGGGTGGCAGAGTGAGTTGGCAGTCGGCTCTCGAACCAGACTCTGGCCCTGTGTCTCTGCTGAAGTCTCTAAACCAAGCCGGTGAAACTCTACCAGCTCAGAAAATAGAAAAGGTCTAGAGGTGCTCTGCGACCTTGACCTTTGGGTTTCCTGTTAAGAGAGGTAAGCTCAGGTTATTTCTCCATAGAATCAAATCAATATCTTGCTGCTGTGGACTCAAAACGTAATATGTTTGAGTGTTTGGCAGCCGTCCCCTGATCAATGCATCAATACGGTGAATACGAGTCCTGAACTCAATACTTTCACTTACTCAATACATCATTAGGTAAGATGATGTCAGAGCCTCACAAGTAGTATAACAATGCAAGTAAGTACATGACACCCACAGAATCAGTGCAAGTGTCACATATTAAATACCCATCGAATCATGCCAGTAAAGTCGTGGTTACCCCACAAGCAAAAACCTGACTACCCTGTTCGATTCCTGTCCAGCTGGATCTCCACGTCATTTCATTGCACTCTTTCTCCCCATTTCCTGCCTACATAACCAAGATAGTTTGACAAGTTGGTGGGTGCCATAACCACAAAAAGAACTGGCTTTTGCATTGCAGTTAAGCATTCTTCTCTCCGCGATAAATAAGAAAAATGAACCCCATCATGACGTCCTTAATGTGCGTTTGTTTCCAGAACTACAACATCTATACTGCAGCTAATCAGAGAAACGTCCAAACTGATTGGGATTTACTGGTCTATTCAAAAGCCAAAGCAAGTTTCAGACCACTTCACATGCATACAGAGATTGAATGCGTCTAATTTTGTTGGGCCTATGAAGACGCTTCACAGAATTTTCCTAAAAAATTGCATAGAAAAGAGCAAGCTTCCAGTGCTTGCATGCCATATCCACCATGATTTCCAAATTCCCTCCCTGCACTGGATTCTCCAGTCACACAAAGAAGCAATAAATACCCGACATTACCCGCCGTGCTGGTGCAAACACTGTCAAGAGGACAGCAAACCACAAATTTACTAATAAAAAAAAAAGGATCACATGCCAGAATCCAGCACGCTGTTTGATGTTACTGGGACACTCGTGCCCTCTTCAGCCGAGTGACCAGCTTGTCGCAGAGTAAGTAGATGAATTTTCCATCACAAGTGCAACCCTTGAGGCTTTCTTCCTGTTTATGTTAAGCTACCTCCAGCTATGAGTGGAGCTGGATCGCTGGGCACCATATGGCACACCAATTAAGAGATGGTCGTGAAAAAAGGTGTGCAGTTTTGGTGAATCTTGTGGTGGCTCAATCCCACACATTATACTATACATTTCAAACTAGTATAAGTGAATCAAAGCATCGAGAAAGGAGCATAATTTTTAAAAATACTCTTTCATTTGCCATCAATGCCGCACATTACCACACAGTGCTGTGGAGAGAAAGGCGGCAAATGTGTTGTGGGTGAGTGAAAACCAGAGTAGTGTGAACGCAGGCTAACGCGGTCACAAAATGACAGAGCCAAACGTGTGACAAACAAAATGTCACACATGCCCTCCGAAACTCTGCGATCTGTTTGTGAAGCTTTGTGGTGGTGTAGCAGCAACTGTCACATGGAGGCTGCAGAAGTTTCCCAGAGCAGTGAAAGTGATCATTGGCTGGCACGGCCACTTCCTGACCCGTGACTACGAGAAACTCTCTCTCGTCTTTGTTTCTACTGTAGTTTTCTCTGATGGGAAGAGAATTAAAGTAGTATTTTTTGGGGGGGGGAGAGAAGCAATGATCAAATGCCTGCTCATTTTGTTTTTAGCATTATATGAGGCAACAGTGAAAAAATGCACAGAACATCCAGGATAAATCACTTTGTCTTGTATCTTACCTCTCTTATAGTTAAGTGTTAAAGAATCGGTAAAAGGAGGGAACAGTTCTTTTCTTGACCAAACAAATTTGTTAAAGTGACATGTTTGCTGGAATACATTAATTTAGCAGGAAAACAGGCAGAATGTGTTACTATCTGGGCTTCTGTGGTTGCTGTAAATGTCTCATCAGTATCGATCATGGCCACTTATGCAGCAACACACTCTCCTGTCCAACCAAAAACCAAAGTTAGAAGTTGGCTTTATGACAAATGGGAACAGAATTATTTGCTTTATGCTTAATTCTAGGTTTCAAATTAGTCAACCAACATAATGTGCATACTTTAAATTAACAGATTAGAGCGAACAATGGTTATATCTTCATAAAAGAGCTGCAAAAACACAAGAAACACTTGAGCAGCACTGATCAAGTGTGCACATTTCCCAAAACTGCTTGCATATGGTTCCTTCTTTGTGATTCCAGCATGTTCAGGATTCTTCTTCTAAAGTCCTGATGCAAACTACATCCAGGTTCTTGGTGCTCATGGCGTCTGTCTCCTGTCACAGCGTGCTCAGCTCACATTCAATGTTAATGGCGCTTCTCACTTAGTTAAGTTAGTGTCTTAACACCGCAGGACACATCTGCACTGTGGCTCCACAGGAATGTCACGTATTTACTCAAATATTCATTCACACACTTTGTTTTTTTTTTTTCCCCCTCCACGCTGTTCGTGCAGCAGGACACCACCTGTTTGGACCGAGCCTTGCTATTTCTTTGTTTTGTTTGTTGACATGCATTATGAAGGCTGAGTGACATTATTCTAATCAGCTGTGTGAGGCTCCTCTTACCTTTCACACGCTGCTTTCCAGGCTCCTAGCCGCTCATTGTTCCGGCTCAGGGATGGAAACACAGTCTCAGGCGGTTCGGCTCCGGGAAAGTGGCGCTTTTATTATTACATCCCCCCCCCCCAAAAAAAAAAAAAAAGCGCGTCGACAGCATCAAGTTAAAGGAAATGACCTGCGAAATGAAGGATGAAGCCCTGGAACAGCTGGACTCCTGTTGTACGCGCTCCTTCTTTGCCCTCTTTTGTCTCGTTGATTGAAGAGGAGGCAATAAAAAAATAATAAAAAATTATTAAGCAGTTTGGTTAGAAAAAAAAATGTCAGTTTCTCCTCCAGGCAGCGGCAAGTCGCACTAAAACGCCTGGAGAAAAAAAAAATTAGGAAAAACACGAAATTCTCCTTCTGCTTTCCGACACTGACGAGGCGAGCGACGGACGAGGCATGACTGCTGCGCGCTCCCGACCAAATCACGCTCGTCCGCGACTCAGACGCTCCGTGGCCGTGGGAGTGAACCGCAATAAGAAATAATTCATGGAAAAGAGGTCGGCATTTTGACAGAGCCAGAGCAAGCTACTGCATGTTGCACATTTGCTCTGTGAAAAAAAAAAAAATGTAAAGAAAAATAAAATGAAACAACAGGCCTCGCGACCTCTTGCATATTTTTATTTTTTTATTTTTTTGCTAAAGGTCTAATTTGAATGCACCTTATTACAAACAGGAGAAAAGCTTTTTTTTTTTTTTTTTTTTTTTACAGTGAGCTACGTGTTTCAGAATTGCACTGAAGCTATTCACTTTCATTATTCCAACACTTTAAAGATGCATTGAACTCCTGTAAATATCACTCATGCACGTTATTTCCTCGTGTTATTCATGCTCCTTTAAATGGGTCTTTTCATTGACATTATACGACTTTGTTATGTAAGACTCCTTCCCTGGATGATTCTGTAAGAGCTGCTTTCCACCCGCAGGGCTGAGATTGTACCCAGTGAGAAAACTAATAGGCCCTACATGAGAGCAGAGACACAGAGATGTCCCTGGTGCCTTGGTTTTTGCAACTATTATAAGGATTACTTTCTTTTTCATTTATTTGCTGGATGCTCTGATGAGCAGCGCGCGGCCTCTTCGCTTCCCCATTCATTAAAACAGATGCACACACAACCACATCTGGGAGCTGCCCTGCGCTCTACACTGCCACTACACTGTTCATTGCTGAAGTGTCTTTAAAACAAACAAAAAAAATACTAAGGCAGTATTGAACATTTCCCACACAGTCAATACTTTCAACATTAAAAGCTGCACTGAAGCCTCAGGGATTGCTTTCTAATTTTTCAGGTCACATGGGAGGAGGGGGGGAAAAAACACTCCCTGTTAACTAAATCCTGTAAATTTAGCCTGTTTGGCCAAATATGTCATTATGTAAGGACAAGGTTTTAAAAATGTTGGACTAAAACCACAGGGAGAGGTGCACAGGAGAGAAAGATTCTTGCTTCCTCAGAGGGAAAAAATGGATGCCAAACATCCACGTGAGGTTATCAGGAGAGGACCCAAATGGAAACACAAACGCAGGCTTCAAAACAAACAAAAAAAAGGAAGTTTAGTCCCAGCTGGTGCAAAAAAAATAACTGCCAAAGGCAACCACAAATCCAAAAGGGCAATAACTAAACTGAAAGGTTTACCAAAACCAAATGCACAAACCAGAGAAACATGGAAAGAACTCAGGCACATAAACAGAAGGTAAGCAGACGAAATGGCAACAAAAGCCCTTTTCAGACATGGGATATGTGACGTTACTGGGCTCATCAATTCATTAAAGTAATGACATGCGAGTCGTTCAAACATACTGTATGCCACTTCTCTCTAAAGTTCCTCCTGTTTGTCAGTCAGATTAGACAATACACAATAGACTAAATCTAAGCTAAGAGCAGTTTATCAAATCTCAGTTTATAATCTCCTGAACACTGACTTGCTGTTAGAACCTGATCCATCCTGTCTTCATGTTGGGGATAATTTATAATTATAGGATTGACAGGTATTTGAAACAACAAATTAAGATGTGGCTGACAGCTTACCTGTCCAACGTGAAGAAAAGGAGACTGTGACTTACCGTTCGATCCTTGTCCGAACTGATCCTGTCTCCACGTCAGGGATAATTTATAATGACAAGTAATCAGTGAAGCTACAGGTGCTGTTGTTCCACTTGTGTGAATGTGCTCGTGTATCCATCCATGTGACTGGATGAAATTCAGACTTGATATAGAAATGTTACGAGGTTTGGCCAAGTAAGACGGAAGAGTGACCAGGGTGCTCATTTAGACGTGACACATTCAGTCGCCATCAGATTATTAGAAAGCAGTGCATATTGGGCAAGGGCTTAAACACTCTATAAACACAGAGGAGCTGAAAAACAGGCAGAAGAAGACACGGGTGAAACCTGTGAGGGTGGGCCAGATCACCAAAAAGGAGGGAAAACCCTTAAAGAGAAGAAACGTGACAACAAACACAAGGAAGAAGAATTTCAAAATCAAACATTAAGCAAAATAACCAAAAACAATGGCTTTGGACATCTTGCTTCCTTGTGAACATGTTATTTTTAGAATGCTAGTAGCTGATTGCTGAAGTGCAAACTTACCAATAATGCTACTCGATCACAATTTGCCACAGTTAGCATTTTTGTTGCTAACTTAAATAGTCTTAAATATGTCTTTTTCTAAACAACCCTTTAGGTGATCATCATCTAGAGTGGCAGGCATCCTCTCTACTTTTAAGATAAGCTTTAAAACTTTTGATAAAGCTGATAGTTAATATTGGCACAGGTGACTGAACCACTACTTCATCAAGCTCCTGTATAAGCTACTATGTTGTTGAGGGGCTTCTCATTATGCACTAACACCTGTGATCTATACTTTCCTCTCATTATCTCTCCATACATTGGCATGTTAAGAACTTTGTGTCTTCTTTCTGCTGTTTTTTTCTCCTCCTCTCTGCAGGTATCTCTGGAGCTACACCAGAGCTGTTGACCATTCTTTTATACGTTGTCTGTGTGCTGTTCTGTTTTCTCTTTACCCTCAGCCAAACCAGTTCAGACAGATGGCTGCTGGTTCTGTTGGAGGTCTCTTCCTGTTAAAGGGGAGTTTATTCTTCACACTATCACCACAGATCTTTGGGGATCTTTGTTGGAGTTCTCTCTATAATAAAGCTTTGTAAGTATGTTGAGAATCGCGGGTGTATAAATAAAACTGAACTGAACCGACAAAGTGAATACAAAAGCCGTCTGGTTTTTAGTGGTTTTCAATAACTGGGATACACTGAAGAGTTGTTCAAAGCTGTCTTTGCGGTCTCGTTGCTCGTCCTGCTGGATTTCACCACCCGTTTCTAAAGGTGACACAGCATCACTCGACCTTAGCAATGGAATTGGAAATAGAGGCAAAGCACAAGCCAGGTTATAAAAAGACTGAGTTTTCCTTTGACAGCATATTCCAAATAGAAATATAACAACCTTTACACCCCAGCGATCATGTCATGGTGGTACATGGTGCACATCAGAGCTGCATCGACTCACTGACGGAGCTTGAACAAGCTTCCTCTGAGGTATGTAGACAAATGTGTGCATTTTCAGCTCACAGAACTTTCTGTAGAAGAAATGTCTGAACTACAACTGTGGAATTAACACAACAGCAATGTGTTGTCAACATGTGTTTTGTGAAGGATTTATAAAGCCATAGATTAGCGCTGGAAGATTTTTTTAAATTTTGGAAAGGAGTTCTTAAAATTTCAAACGACAGCATCTGACGTAGAGACCCCGTTGACGAAACACAACCTGGGAAGATGGAAGAGAAGCTGATTGTGCAACCAATAGGTGTGTGTGAGAGGAAGAGAACAAAAGATTGGACCTGTGAAGGAAAATGATTCAAAATCTTTCTGTGTGGGAGCATGTGTACATTTCCTGGCCACTTGAAAGTGAATGACGCAAATTGATTCAGAAAACACGCTCAAACCATCATTTCAGAGAACAGCGGTGCTACATTAGTACAGTGTGACTCCGCAGGAGCCGGCTCAGACCTACCTTTATCTCAGAGACGTTTTACAGCGCTCATTATTAGGTTGTCAGGGTTAAATGAGTCAGGACTGCTTCGGCAAATCGGTCAGAGGCTGCATGAATTAGCGATCCATTAAAAGGATTACAATGGGCATCAATTAATGTTGGCCTCTTGTGGGTTCGCAGCAAAGACGCATATTTCTGGTGATAGCTTGTACAAGTGTAACAAGGTTTTGGGTATGACAGTACATGCAGGTGAAGCCTATATTTTTGTTGTACTTTAAATGTAAATATGTCAATTATTGGGACTGGGAAGAGGAGTATGTGTGATGCTATGTGACCTAGAAGTAAAAAGAAACAGAAGGCATTCCCGCCCACTGGCACTGGTCTGCTGCCGCTTCACCCATCATCAGCTCCACCATCTCACATCCCATCACACTCACAGAAACAGCAACATTTTAATACTTAACGCCGTTTTGAACGCCCTGTTGGTGCGCTTTCTTGCAATCTGCTTTCACACATTGTCTCAGGATCGCCACGTCTCTGTGCAGAAGAGTTTGTGTGCCTTACAGTCAGATTAGGCCAAATTTAGAAGCACCTCCAGTGAGGTCCGCTGCAGCTGAAAAAGAGGTACCAGGCCAGACAAAGTACAGTCCATCACCTACTCCTCTGCAAGGAAAGCCCTGCTGGCTCCAAGCCCAGATCACACAGAGAGGCTGAATGTAGGACTCGCATCTCGGCTCTGTGAAAGTGTTCCAGGAAGCACAAACAAAACAACTTTTTCAGAAAAAAAACCCCGAAACATTGTGCTTTTTAAACCATTTTCAGTGTGAGGCCTTTGTCTTCAAGCAGCTGCAACTTCTGCCAACAAACTTGACAGAAGCGATGCCTCATACAAATATTGACAGACTTATTTGCACGAGTGACCTTCAAGTCTAATGTGCACACTGTTCAGGTTTCTGTGTCTTGTCTCGTGTGTGGAATCAAAGCTCCTGCTGCCAGAAAATGACTGACGAGATACTCTTGAGCTGCGAGCACAATGAGGAGAAAAATGCAAGGGAGGTCGCTTAGGTAATGAAAGCCAATAGTTTTTCTGAACGCCACCTCGCTTTATCATTTATCCTTCCTTCAGTGGCCTTAATGGTTTTTCTGCTGCACCAGAAGATCACTCATCTGAGCAGCCTTGTCAATCTTCCCTGCACCGGGCTACTCAGAGTGCTGCTATCCCCTCATTTAGATGCAAAGACATGAGTGGAAATGTGAGATCAGCTTTTTTTTTTTTTTTGCCGTCGTTTCTTTATTCTTATTATTACCAAAGTGGGGAAAAGCAGATTGACATGTAACCTCCTCTGGTGTCTTTCCCCCGTCGTAGGCACATTGAGTTTATACTGCGGGTCACAGGCAAAAAGATTATTTCCACGAGATGCAATTTAGACATTTTTGCTGCGAGCTGAAAGAGAAACATCTATTTCTGATAATCATCTCATCCATTTTAAGCTTGTTCTTCCCCATAAGTAACGATGGTTACCATACTGTGTCCTCTACTTATAAAAGCCAGCTGCTACCGGTTGAAATGGCTGAAGACAGTGATGAATATTGTTGTGAATGATGAGAAATTATACAGTTTCTGACTGTTTTCACAACGGGGACAGTCAGGCGAGCCTATGCGGATGTCATACGCGAGGCAGATGCTTTTCAGTGAGGTCATATTTCCCAGAAGTCTTGTCTTTGCCATCTGAGATGCATCCTGTCTCCCTGTATTGTGCTCTCCCTCCCTGTGCTCTCCTTCTCCCACAAGATGCCTCTACTTCACTGGGGTTAAAAATAGACATATCCCCCCGGTGCAGCTTGGGCCTAACTTTATTTTCATGGGGGAAATGAAAAGCACACATACTGAGCTGGCTGGAGGGACAGAGGGAGAAACAATAACCTTGAAGATCCAATGACAAATTAGTTTCTGTCCGCGTAAGAAAAACAGCATGAGGAACAAAGGTCCAAACAATAGGGCGTTTTACTGAGGTTTAGATCTCTGCTGCTCTCGTCTCTTCATTGAGCTCTCTCGCTGGGCTTTAATCTTTTTTATTCCACTTTGGTTTTGATCTCAAATTAGTCCCTGCTATCTGTTGCACAGGATTGAAGCCTACCTACTCCTCTGACAAATCTAGTTTGAGTGTCTGAAATGAAATGCAAACGAAGAACCAATCCTCCCAAATAGAGTTATTTTTATGGCAGGTTAAAAACCATCGTCCTCAGTCCTGACACGGCTATACTGATATTGATCTGAAGGAAATGGGACTTCTCTTTTTTTGCCAGTTGTGGTTTTTATCAAGCAGTGCAAAAATCCCCACAGACAAAGATGGCTAGGAGATGAAACAGAGGAGGAGACAAAAGAACAAATGGAGTGGATGAGAGAAGCAAGAAAGCGACGCCGAAAGAGAACGGAGACGGATGGGGACGTGCTGGAGAGCAGGAGAGGGAAAGGAGAGTATGGTGAGGCAGAGCTGGAGTCAGAGTGTGACAGACAGGCAGAGGAGGAGGAGGAGGAGGAGGAAGGAGGGGGTGGGGATGTGGGAGAGTTGAGTCAAACCCCCCCGAGCTCCCCTGATTTCTCTGTGAAAGACACAGTGCTGAAAAGATGGATAGCGTGTGCCCTCTCTGCCAAGGCATGCCCAAGACAATGACATCATCATCATCAAACTAGCAAGGACACGAGGCGAGAGCCCCAGACTCACGCTTGAATCTTTTATTCATTATTATTCACTCACTTATTCATCATTTTCCCTGCGCTCAGACTATCACTTTGCACTGACACGATCATTAAGTCTTCGTACTTGCAGAGGTTCTGCAACCAAAATAGTACTTCTACTTGCACACGCAGTCAGACTGTCACTTTGCGCTGACAGTCATCATAGATAGTCTTCATAGAAATCTCCTCAAAATAAAATATGTACTCTTACTTTTACATACTTATACAGCTATATGTGGACACTTTGGTGTGCAGCACAGAGAAAAGAAAAATCATCACAGGTTCAGGTTCGACAGGAGGCTACAATCACAGAGCAGGATAGAGGGTTTTAACTTTCCTTCATATTGTATATGTTGTGTGGGGTTAATATTCTGTTGTTGGAGGCGTTTAATTCTGGTGAGCAGCAGCGTCACTGCTTGCGCTCCTTATCTGCGAGTCTCTTTGCTTTATTCTGGAGGTAACGAGCTTTGCCCTCCTCGAAACGTCTCTGCTCCTCCTCTCCTTCAACCTACAGGAAAGAAAAGAAGACAAAACAAGAATTGGATTCAGGCACATTTATCATCTATGCATATTGTGCACTGGAATTTTTTTCCCCTTTCTGTTATTACATTAACTGTGGGCATGAAGCTCTGATCTAATTTAGCAGACCGTGTAATCGTAGATGCCATTCATCTTCTTGCTGAAGTACCAAACAAATGATTGAAACCTGGAGAGGCCCTGCATTGTGAGCATAAAGTATGCAGAAGAATGCATTCAAGTAAAGTTGAGCGAAAAATAAAGGGGGTGATTTGAGAGGCATTTGCAGGACACAGACACATCTGAAACTTCTGTAGCTGCAGGATTTCCAATAACGTATTATAGCGAGCATCATGAATGTGTCGCCTGTAGCAAGATTTTTGGATTAATGCAACAATGATGGCAAGATTGACGGAATCCAGAACAACTACTCCTCGTGTTGCACAACATTTGATCAACTAAAGCTGCAAAAATGATCATTTTAATGATTTTAGTGACTGTTGGTTTATCATCTGATCAGGTCGTACCTTCTCGTGACCACACTCTTCCATCATTAAGTAACAGCCTCGTGCAGTATTACCCTTTTTGATACTGATTGCACCATGACACACGGAAATTCTGGAAACCCCCCCCCCTTTGGATATACAGCTGCTATGAATCTCTTTTACATTTTTGTATTTTATTCTGTGCAGCATTTTCAATCCTGTGAAGAAGAAATCCTTTTTTTACCTTCACTTACGTTGGAGCTGGGTTTGGCTGCTGTTTCGTGGGAGGAAGCACTCGCTAGTCTGTACAGTTTAATTAGACTGCCTGGCAACCTCATGACTTAAACAACAACACCACCACCGGTGACCGTGTCAACACTTACTTTTATGGTGCTGCTTGCCTTCCCACTCCCTCATCTGTTCCCACAAAAAGCGGTGCATACGAGCTTTTTTGTGTGCTTTTTAAAAATGCACTGTACGAGCAAATGCTGGCGTTAATGACATATTCAGATGAAGGCTCGTTGCTGTGCACACACCAGGTGGTTGGCAGATTCAAGAGCACCTGCCACTCAGAGAAACAGGGTGCAAAGCTGACAGATGGCACCTTAACTTTATGGAGAGAGCAGGGTGGCAAAAAAATATGACAAAACATCATGCCAGGGACAAGCCCAAGAGGGGGTAGAGGAGGAGGACGAGGGTGGTCCGACTCAAACGTGATGAGGTTATTAAAATAGTGACGGCGAAATGCAAACACAACACCAGTGGGAATATCTTATGTGCAGAACAGGTTGAGGAGCATACAGCTGTAGAATTGGTTTGTTTGTTGTATGCTGGTTATATAACAGTCAGCATACTGCTCAGTCAGTTTTGCTTTTGCCGTTCAGCTGAAAGTAATGGATAATTCCAGTTCATTGACTTTCAGAAGAAAAAAAAAAAGGGAAAGAAAGACCACACTTCAACAAGCATTTTCAAAAAAATAACATGAACAGAGATGGTGCTCCATTTTTC